CTTTGAGTAAAGTGGTATCTTGAATTCTGAAAATTTAATCTTGAATTTTGAAAACAATAAATGAAAACAGTTATATTGAGAGCAAATTGATTGAGAATACATCGGAATTAAAATGTCATACCAAATACAACGGCATACATCTGAAAGGATTTTGATGGCATAAACACTTATATTATGCTCTGACATTATGAATTGCATCTTACTACTTCTAACAAATAGAGACTTCGTTAAAAATATGGCAGTCCATGGCTATCTATAGTTTATAGTTGTGCCGAACAACAAAGAATGCATAAAATTTCATCTTTTCACATGAAACAAACAATATATTTGGTTGTAATAATCGTCAGTAATTGCAGAAAATTCATGTATGTTTGTAACGCTGGTATTAAATTAAAAAAAAATGATTTTACGGCCGGTTTCCAACATGTCCCCTATAAGTAATAGATATACCATTGCTGCGTTGACGATTTCTGGGTTTGCGTAAATTATACCATAATCACGTGACCTTTCTTATGCCTTGACCAAAGTCTCGTGAGGTTGCATAAGAAAGGTCACGTGATTATGGTATAATTTACGCAAGCCCAGCAATCGCCAACGCATCAGTGGTGTATCTGTTTTAACCTATAGCTCCGCCCTGAAACACTTACTCCTTCGACGAAAATTATACCATAGTCTTGGTATGGTATAATTTACGGTTATTTGGAAATTAAACTTAGAAGAATTTTACATAAGAAGCGCTGAAGAGCTATAGGTTAATTATATATAATGATATTGCTGAAAGCAAAGGGTAATTTTCCGAAACGCTCATTTGAAACATAGATTGATACAAAAAATATATCATTTAGATATCCCTTGGGATAAATTATTCAACAATCCCGACAATGCAAGTTTAATTTATCTGTTATCTAATTAATATATTCTACGAAAACTCGCTTAATACTGCTGTCTGAACTGGTGGTAGATGCCACAGCGACTGTCAACATGCGTTAAAAATAACCATTAAATTTCATTTAAACATTCTTCGAAAGTATGATTATTACTGCAGCTTCGCGGAACGAAGAAAAATATGATTCTCTGTCTTAAAAGTATCTATACAATATGATCGTTTTCCTATTCCAAGCATTTTTTTTAGATTTTCTCGACTTTGTAGTCTCCTCGAAATCATGAGCCGACAAGATATGGAAAGTCCGTTGATCTTACTGTGAGAATTTATTCTCTCGTGTTGTTGTATTTTCTTTCTTGTGTCAATGGTGTTTTTTTTTTTCATTGTTATGTTGTGTTGTTGTATTTTCTTTCTTGTGTCAATGGTGTTTTTTTTTTCATTGTTATGTCGTGTTGTTGTATTTTCTTTCTTGTGTCAATGGTGTTTTTTCATATACATGTCTGTCTGGGATGAGCAACAAGGGAGTAGGAACCCGAAACTCATTCATGCCTTACAAGAAAGGGAAGAGGATCTCAGAACTTATTTACATGGTTGTCTGGGACAAGCAACAAGGCAATAGGAACCTAGAGCTCATCTCCCTACAATTATTTTTAGGGGATGAATATATAGTTGTGTCAACGTGTCAGTTGGTTGGTACGTTAGTCTGTCAGTTGGTAAGTACGTTAATATGTCTTCCGGCTAGCTTAAGATTCTAATCAGGTGCCCGTTCGTGCCTGAAATATTGCATGGAGGGAACCTGAGGTCTTCTTAAGTTGGAACGTCTCATACTACCTATGTTGGTGTGTCGAAAAAGCTATTCAAACAAACAAACGTTGGTCTGTCCGTTGGTCGGATCCATTGGTGCCCAGATAGTATCTAAAGTGTGGAATAAAAAATATTGTAACAGCAAGCTTATGTTTAGTCCTCTAATGGAGTTGCTTTTTAATCCCAAAGGGTCAATGTCACTGATACTAAAAATACAAAAAGAGTTACCGGACGGGTACTAGAGTATGGAATGAGATAGTGTTATCAAATTATTCGGCAAGCTAACGTACGTTGAAACCATGCTTAGAATTGCCTTTTAAAATCGTACAATCAAGGTCATAGTAACTTAAAATGAATGAAATGTCTGGTCAATTTTGAAAGATAAATGAAGTAAAGAAATGATGGTGATATATGAATGATGTTAATAGTTTCTTCATTGGTGAATCATCATCAAATACTGATCACGATTAAAGAAGGAATCAGGCCAACTCTACCTTAGCAATGTATATTTTGGTACATAGATTAAACGTGAAAAAACGTAGGTCAATAATCATAATTTTGCTTTATACCACTAATTTACCTGTCGTTTATTAAAAAGTGCCGTTTTCCGTTGTGCGACAATGGATTGTAATATTTTCACTATAAATGTTAATGATCACTTTACAGATTGAGTCCAAATTTGACATTAGGGGATGTTTTTAATTCTATCAAAATAATGGTTTATAAATGATGATACTATCTTAACAAGTCAATTAATTGTGGAATATATTATTGGTACACAGTTGAAATACCATACCATATAGTGTAAAATATAGTAACAGTTTGGTTTCAATAAATAATTATTTTTAAATAGAGAAGGCGACGGATTGAGGTATGAACAACCTTTAATGAATGCTCTGGTTCAAATAATTGTCCGCGGTGTGAAGCGCGGGAATAGGAACCCGGGTTCTCATTCACATGCCTGTCTAGGGCGAGCATCACGGGGAAAGGAATCCGGAACTCATTCACATGTCTGTCTGTGACGAACACGGAGATGGAATTCGAAACTCATTCACATGCCTTTCAATGGCGTGCAATATAGTGACAAGGCCCCGAAATCATTCAGATGCCTGTTAGAGACGGTAACAAGGGTATATATAGACGGAACCCATATACATGCCTGTGAGGGACGAACAACATGGGAAGCCGAACTCGGAAATAATTCCAATTTCTGAACAAACAGATTTTATTCACATGTCTGTCAGGAACGAGCAACACGGGGATAGGGATGATGAACCTATTCACATGCCTGTTTCGAATCAGAAACTCCATAATAAGAACTTCACTCATCAGGAACGAGTGCGTGGAACGTATTCACATGCCTGTCCTGGCCGAACACACGGAACTCATATTCTCATTTCTATTTAGGGAAGTTTGATTTTAACTCTAGTAAGTACAATATCACTCAGCTTTTGTTTGCATATTGTTTAACTCATTACTGCATGAGCATATTATGAAAAATGGCTGTTTTCATTGAAAAGGCTCCTGTTACAAGTTCAAATTGCAATGAAACGATAACATGGGCTTCAACACTGTTAAAACTTCGCACAGATGTTGACTTGTCCATTACCTTTATTTGTAACGGCATACTCAATCTTAAATTTCCTATTAATATGGCAACGATTGGACATCTCAAAATTGCAAAAAAATCAATATTTTGCTTTGATTTTTCAATCAAAACCGTGCTGCAACTTCTCAATGGATTGATATAGAGTCAAAAGATTTTCAGCGTTGGTTACACGTTTCCTTAAGGTCGACCTATGGCCATTTTTAGCCTCTCACTGGTCCAAAGTTTAATTTTGCAGATGAGGGGTCTGCTGCCCCCTTCAAACCCCAAGCAGAAGAGGGCACATCATCCCTGTATATCTATTTGATAGGGGATGGCGCGGAAAAAACTTTTTCTAAAAGGAAAACAAGTGTTTGCGGTCTAAATAGGGCATTCTTTACTGTTTTAGGCCTCAAAAGGGGGAGGGGTGAAAAGGTTTGAAAAGACGTCTATACGAAGTAATGGGTTAAACTCATTAAATAAAATATGCAAGTAAAAATGACTCGATTTTTTTATCTATTTTTATTGCCATCTGATAATGTACTGCAATCTCAATATAACAAATAATGCTTGAATGATCTTATAACCATATTTCTGTGTCCATATACAATTGCAAGATATTGACAAACAATGTAATAAAAAAAGGTTGATATTTGAAAATTAGGAAACTCTGGTGATGGAAATGTATACCAAAATTGAACAAACCGACATTTTTCAACACACTTAACAATGTATCCCTAAAAGGAATAAGATGCATGTGGAGCATGTGTTAATAGTATATATAAAATATAGTAAATATATAAGGGGTATGCAATGTATGTAGTGTATGTGATATATGTTATGCATATTATATATGCGGTATATGTGTATATGATGTCTTTGATGAATGATAGGTGTGCGATGTATGTGGTTAATGTGATGCATATGAGGCTCGAAGGATATAAGATGAATGTGTTGTGATGTTAGAAAACCATTGAATTTATAGTCTAATCAATTCATTAGACTACTTAGTAATTACATCAGAGAATCATATCATTAAGTATATGAAAACTTCAAAAGAGCAAAGACATATTACATGTATAGGACTGTCAAATTACCAATACATAATTGGCTATGTTGTACTGTTAACTACTTATTTGTTACGATTATATACAATATTATTAGCTCAGATGTTTATTATGTTAAATTGAGAAAAACAGAATCCCAAAAGAAAGCCCAAAACGACAAGATTTAAATTGTTGCAAGCCCGGTTTGATTCAGCCTGTTCATGGACAGTGCTGGAAAGTGCAAATAACTGTCCACGTCCCCTTAGCACCGACTTAAGGAGAATTCAATATTTAAACACTAAAATGGTGAAATTTCGAATGTGGAAACATCCGCAGATTTGTTCATACGGCGGTTAAAACCCATAATAGTATAAGCTTTTATAATGTTGAAAATAAATGTGTACATGTACCTTGTATCCATACTCCTTGATTTAAAATGCAGACGTCTTTGAAACACAAATTTAATAAATCTTGCAAGATAAACTCTCATATTAATCATAATTTATATACATTTTATATTTTTATATTCTATAATGTATTCATGTAATTGAAATAAGGTTAACATTAATCTAATAAATTGATCACCTAAATAGGTTTTGAAATTAAATGAAAATGTTTGTTTTACCGATTATAAACAAGGCTTTACACGAATACATAAATACAGCAACAAACTCAAGATTAACTAAGCGTATACAAAATAGCCAGTAAAAGAATTCCAACGGTTATGATTCGCAAATAATTGGCTGTCTGTCCATTTTGCCACTACATTGACAACTTCTCCCCTCTCAAGCCTCACGATGGTGTTGATAGAACCACATCCAGACGCAGAATTCCCATAGACAGTCGAAACTGCTAATTGAACGCTGCCGTTCACGATTGCAAACACCATATGTTTGTTAGGTTGGTGACAAACATGCGCATTAAACGAGTAGACACCATTTTCAGGTGCTGTGAATTTACCAGTCTTGACATCATAGCCATTGCCCTCGTTCAGTGTACACGTGGGAAAAATAAGTGGCGTGTTCAATGGAAAATGTGCCAATTTATATTCCATGTGAGCCTCAAATGCAATACGTCCTGAAGTAAAATACATATTTATTGTATTAACATCAGTGTTAACAAAACCAGTAATTGCTCTTTCGCATGTGCAAGGTGCCTATTATATACGCTAGGTTAAAGTGTAGAAACTACTTCTCATTCCGGTAAGTAACAAACATAGGGATAAAGTAAAAAAGTTGGACCGATTGTTTTAACAATTTGATTTACACGCGATTTTTTTTTTTAGTTTTTTTTTTTTGTTTTTTGTTTTTTTTTGTTTTTTGTGTGTGTGTGTTTTTGTACAGGTTTCTGGCTAGAACGAAAGGGATGGATCTACACTTTATTCCGTACAAAATAATGAATATGCAGTTATTGCAGATGGTAAATCTTAGGCCGTGTTTTGTTTTGTTTGGGGTTTTCCCTATGCAGAATAGATAGAGCGAGAAACCTATACAAAAACACGTGTATATTGTTCGAACGCTTAGTGTCACTGTCCTATTTCGTTTCCTCTAAAATTCTATATTTGCGTTACCTACTTGAATGAGATGGTTCTACTGTATTAAATATTTAAAATGTTATGGTAGATAAAAAATCTAGACTGTCTATTTTTTGGTTTTATGCGCCATCCAGATCCAAAAATGTCACGTGGTATGGGAACCGTGAAAATTAACCATGAAATTGTATATCTAATAAACTTTAATAGAATAAAGTTAAATATGTAGTAAATAGAGCAATCAAAATCCTATTAGACACAAAGCATGCAATTTGCCTTAATCTCTGAGAATAGTTTAAAACGTTTTATTTTTGTTAACTTGCTTTAACATTTGTTGATGTTTGTTTTCAAAATTTGTTGACTCAACCGAAGTCTTGAAACACAGAAGCTGTAAAATTAATTGAATCTATATATGTTACCTATCTGAAATACCACAATTAAGAAAAAATGAAAAAATATCAGAGATATACTTAATCAATCTCCACACAGTGATCTCCCCTTAATTCTTCGGCGTAGATCTCTGCCACCAAGGGTCCGATATATCAGAATTTCTGATATAATATATTTTTTCAAAAAAATTTTTATCTACTGCTTTTATCTATCAGATAAGTTTTCTCTCGTGTATTTAACAATGTTTATGAATAAATAAATAAATAATATGAATATTGAGAAATAATTTTAAAAATTATGAGATTATTTTCTACCGAGACGATATTTTGATATTTTATATTTTTTAGCTTTTGAATTTATTTTTCGTTATTTTGTATACTTTCGATAATTTTTTGATAAACTATATCGAACGTAGGCACTAAAAGTTAAAAATAAAACAGAAAAAGAAAAATAACGTTAGATTTTCTTTGTAACGGTCGATATTTACATTTGAATTTCGACGTTACGTCATGTGACTTTCATCATCATGTGACGTCTTCGAAGGCAGTGATTACAATTCTGCCAAGGGAGGTAATCACTGTGAGGAGTTTGATACTTAATATATAAGAGCCGCGTCACGACAAAACCAACATAATGGGTTTGCCATTAGCATGGATCTAGACCAGCCTGCGCATCCGCACAGTCTGATCAGGATTCATGCTGTTCGCTATCAGTATCTCTACTTGTTATAGGGTTTGTAAGCGAACAGAATGGATCCTAATCAGACTGCGTGGATGCGCAGGTTGGTCTGGATCCATGCTGGTCGCAAACCCAATATGTTGGTTTTGTCATGACGCGGCTCAAATTTATTATTAAAAGCATACAAAATGGTTTAATCAGTCTGACAATGCGCTTAAAGTCAGAGAAAAAACAAAACGTTTCATCACTAACCTGACAGATTTCTTATATTTTTCATGTTTAGAATTAAAAATTTACTAACATTGGAATATCTGATAGAAATATTTACAAAATTAGTCAGCCAACAGTAAAGTGCCTTGTTAGGCAATAACAATTTTGAAATTCAGCTACTAAATTTCACAGACATATACTTAATTTTTAATTACCAAATAGATAAGAACAGAATTGCTAATTTATAAGTAAGCCCAACACGGCAAAATTGTAAAATGTTGCAGGCTCGGTTTGATTGAGCCTGTTCATGGACGAAACTTGGACGTGCAAGTTACCGTCCACGCCCCCGAGCACCTTGTAATTTTTCATTTGACGGAGTACTTACTGCTTTTGGTTCTGCGGGCATCCAAGTCACAACTTGCAAACGAGGCAAATAACCCCTAAAAAAACATATTATGAAAATACATTACATACGGATAAAAATATATAATAGTGAAAACATGATAATAAATATTTTAAAAAATTGAACAATCGCCATGTGTTTATATCCTTAATTTCAATGCTATTAAGTGTTTATATCCTTAATTCGTATGCTATTAAAAGCTGGAGAGACTGTATTACTTTATTATAAGGTTGTTCGTTTCTATGTGATTCAGGTCTTTGACTTCGTTATATGTTAAAATTACGCCGGGGACTTTTCATTAAACTATCCAGTTAATATCTATATATATACCAAATAGTGCACAACTCTAGCGAGCGGTCTCTTTCCTACAGATTGTAGTACTATTAATACACGAATGTAACAACAAAGAATTTTGATATGCTGCTGATAATTTTAAGAATTTCTAAAATTATGCATATAAGATAAATTACTATTTATTTGCAATATGAAGCAAACAAATATACGAGTTATGTTTCTAGAGTCCAAATTTCACGAACAACCTTTCAAATATGCCAAATTTCAACAATCACAAATTCAATGATTTTTACATGTTTTATCTAAGTTTCAAAGTATCTTTCAAAAATCAAAAATATACCCTTATCTCTTTCATAAAAACAAAGCACTAATCACATATTGCTCTTCCGAAAATAATAATAAACATTGTATAAACTGTGAATCTTAAAGTAACATAAAATGTAATAAATTAAATGTTCTTATTACCAAGACTGCCAACAGCGTAACGATCATAGTTCCTCTGGTAATGCTTTGGATACTGCGAAATACCAAATGTTTGAACGCTGCCGCTCGCACAGGTCTTTTAAACTTACCATTCATCCCACGCTTTCAGTTTATCAAAAAGATCTATCCCAGATATAAAAATGTCCGACATATTCACGGATGTTGAAATTTAATCCGGATATTATTTTTTAATAAATCGGCTAAATTTGCTGAGCAATCGTAGTCTCCATATTAAGAAAATACACAGCCACACACCTACTCACAGGCAAACTTGCAAAGATATTGCACTAGTCAAGCGGAATCCAAAACATCTTCAAGCAAGCGATACAAACCTACCAAGATAATACTGTAAACCTGCAAATTTTCGCGACCAATTAATATTTGCTTAATTCACGGAGTCATTGAAGCATGAATATAAATTTGCAGTCATTTTGCTAATTTCTTGGGAAAACGTTTTGTTTAAATATCTCTAGACGTTTGAGATGAAGATATAGATATATATATGATGGCTGATTTGGAACGCTCATGTGCGTCGTGTTGTCGCTAGCGATAGCATGACAAAGCGCCAAACGATTGACAGTGAATATCTTTAAAAATTGACAATGCATAATTATAACTGTTGAAGTTAATATCTATAACAGTTGACATCTAAAGTTTATAACAGTTGACAGGGAATATCTTTAACAATTGGCAGTGAATATCTATAACAGTTGACAATGAATATCTTTAACAATTGAAAGAAATATCTATAACAGTTGACAGGGAATAACAATTACAGTTGACAGTGAATATCTTTAACAGTTGACAGGGAATACCTACACAACAATTGACATGGAAAATCTATAACAGTTAACAATGAATATATATAACAGTTGACGGTAAATACGCTGTTTTAAATTAATAATATCTCAGAAAATCATTAAAACCATTTTAACCATCCTACTGTACTTTTTCTTATAAATGATATTTGATCAACCCAGATCTCCAAGGAGATATCACTTGTCCCCAGCAATAATGAGTTCGAATCTCTGAAAGAACGTCAGATTCTTTCAAGTAAGAAAGCTACCCAACAAGCAACGTTAAGGAACGTTGACAGTTCTAATCAGGTTCCCGTTCGTGCCTGAAGTAATGTAAAGAGGGACATATGAGGTCTTCCTCGCCATTAAAGCTGGAAAGTCACCATATGACCTCTTCTGTATAGGTGAAACGAAACATCCAACCCCCCCCCCCCACACACACACACACACAAAGAAACATCAACTTGAAATGTGCGCTAGCTTCCAATCAAGATACAGTAGTAAACAAGAAATTAAACAACAAAAAGTAATTATAAATTTAACGGCGCGTCAGTTGAAAATATACCTTTATCTCATTTGATCAGCTCGGATGGATCAGTTCGCTACCCGTTCCCACGCAGTATATAGAAATTGAAAAAATCCGGCGCGTTAGCTAAAATGTTCTCATTCACGCTGCACGCACATAGACACGCATTTTCGAATTTCTTGATTTTTCTACTGTTGCAAAGTTATTGTTAAATAAAGGCCAAGCAAATGTTGTTTGTGGCGTCAAAGTTATGATTATTTTATCGTGTATCGTCTTTTTGTAATATCCTAACTCTCTGATTCATGGGTCCACAGTATTTCAATCACATTCATGACCCTTACCGTTACTTTCTTGCCGGGTGCAGTTCATTTTTTGTCGCTACGTTGAAATCTCGACTATTTATGTACTAACTTACAGAAACAGAGACTTTCATTGGCCACAAGATGCGACGCATTCGATTCTAACACAGCGATTACAACCTATCATTTCCAAATGTCAAAACATTAGACCCCCGTTCGTTTTGGGATTATAAGTCAGAATGATAATAATGATGAAGTTTACAAATCAAATAAAACCGACTGATTCACGTTTGTGACTATCCTTTCACAGTTTACTGTTGCCCCTCTTGAAAGCATACAGAAAAATTATTTCGAGCTTACGTTGTCATCGAATATAAAATTCTTAGACAAACAACGTGGCGATACTTTTGACATAACTGGCATATATCAAATCGTTACAAAATTGTCATGAGATAATTTCATAATATACCCATAGGCCCATTATCCCGCTGATGAATCCGTAGGTTTCTTTTAACGGACAGAAGAGGAATCCAAATACCTGATATACCCCATTCCCTTCCCATTGATTCGATGGTTAGCCTGAATGCATGTAATTTTTGTACAAGATCTCTAAATGATAATTCATGAAGAGCTTTATTTAAAACTGCCAGATTAGGGTGCCATAAGATCTTAAAGCAGCATGCCTCTAGATAAATGCTGATTTTCATGAAAGTTTTGAAAATGTAATATTTAAAAGCAAAATATTGTAAGGAGATCTATGTAAAGTGAATAACCTATTGCAAACGGAGCTTAAAATCCACGTGAAAGAATGCAAAAGTAGCCCTAACTGTGTTAGGAATGCAATGAAAAATACTGCAAAATCAGTCTTTAACCACATATAACATGTTAATTATTACTTGAACCTTGAAACATTTTTCCTTTTCTTGCAATCTTAGTACTTATCTCAAGTTTGATTTTCTTGAAATATTTTGGCTCATCCTGAGGTATGCATGCAGCTTTAAAAGTTAATATACAAACAAGTTGACGTCAATAGCATAATAAGTTTATTTATATTATTTTTGCTTTCTTTTCACTATATACATATTTATAGTATATAAATTGTATTTATTTGCATATGGACAAGTAACATTACATTAAAATTCTAATGTACAAAAACCAATTCAATTCAAAGCAAATACTCAAAACTTATGTAAACTATGTAAATAAGTTTACCAATTTATTATATCTGTGTAACGTATCTCGTTTTATTTATTTCATAACGTTTTCAGCATGTCAAATGAAGAAATGTTAACAATTGTTCAAGTTATAATGACAGATTGCTATTTAAATAATTTTGTACGAGAATAGAATTAAACATTTAAATTCTAAGAGTTTGTTAGTCTTGCATATCATAAAAAATCTTAATGTATTAAAATTGAAAACGCAGGTATACAATAATATGCATTGACATAAGCTCAGTTGCGTTCACCGTTTTTATTTTTTTACATTAAACCCTTATAATTAACACCTATTGATATTCAAGATATAAAACATGATAATAATTCAGATTGAAAGATCCGGCTGAATCTTTTAAAACTACTTTTCTTTTAAATAAGTGTCATCAGCTAAATTCCCTAGATTGAAATATTTTAGTGACATGATGTGGATAAACATTACAACAAATCCGGTATGCAAATTAAATAGAGACGCCTGATTTTATCGAGTTATTTTAGTACTTTTTATACATTTTTCTATAGAACAGGACCACGTTTTCCCGCTTAAAAATTATGTTGTAATATTCTAAAAGCATGCAAAGTTGATATTTTGTAACGCAGTTTTCATTTGCATATATGTTGTTATGTAAGCTGTTTGTCACGCTAGGAAATGGAAAACACCCTCATTGAAAATAAATATAACCCTCACATTTACTTCAAACAATATTTCTAATATACGCGGGTGCTTTGTTTTCGTTACAAGAATTTTAACAATGCAACAACAGTGCTACGACAATATGATATTTGTAGACTAGCAGCCCAAGCTACAAAGATTTATATATTAGTTATCTATTTTTGTTTGGCCAATACAAACATCAAAATTATGTAGTTCGAAGTAGTTCGATGCAATGGCACTTTCAATACTGACATATGGCGCATAAAGTTGGGGAAGTTCGTAATCTGGGTATATTATTAGCAGTGCATATTTATTTCTTAGATATTGCTGCCGTGAACAGTCATATGATATAAGTTTAATGCAGACATATTCCCTTATGCTTAATTATCTACAGTC